ACTTTTTCTCTCTTATTCTGGCACACTGATTTTCAAGATTAATAGTAATGAGGGCTTTGTCCTTAATTCTCAGTAGATGGAAAATCAAAATGGAAAAATTCATCTCTAGGAGTTATGGGTAGATGTAATAATAACTTAATTCTTTTTTTTAACGTTGTGGTTGCTGTTCAACATTCATTCTCTCTTACAATTTATTTTGGCAGGAAGATATTTTAAAGAAAGTAAGCTGTTCAAAAGTGACTTGTAGTTGATAAATTGATCTCTTAATCCAAATTGCCATATTATCTTGTTCTAATTCTGGATATTGAAGAGTAAATGCTCATGGGATTTGAACTTTGGCTTACTTGAATAACATTTTAAGACAAACTTAGAATAATACTTGTGGATCCTGAGATGTATGGGAGAATTTGAGGTGGGAATATATTCTTTTTTTTATCTGCCAAGATTTTTTTTTAAATATAATTTAATGTCAAATTAGCTAACATACAATGTGTAAAGTGTGCTCTTGGTTTTTGGGGTAGATTCCCGTGGAGGAATACATTCTCTACTAAAGTGACCTAGCCTGGCTGGCTCAGTCAGAAGAGGATGTGACTCTTATTCTCAGGGTCATGAATTTGAGCCCCAGAATGGGTGTAGAGATTACTTAAATAAAACTTAAAAAAAAAAAAAATTCAAAGACACTAGTTCTTCTCTTTTTTTTTTAACGTTTATTTTTGAGAGAGAGAGAGAGTGAGCGAGCAAGCACACAAGCAGGGGGAAGGGCAGAGAGAGAGAGGGAGAGAGAGAATCTGAAGCAGGCTCCAAACTATCAGTGCAGACCCTGACATGGGGCTCGATCATAACGAACTATGAGATCATGACCTGAGCCAAAACCATGAGTCTGATGCTTAACCAGGTGAACCACCTAGGCACCCCACCACTGGTTCTTGAATAACAGTATTATAATGTCATTTTTTTATTAGTAGCACTGAATATTCTGGTATCCAAAATTTTACTTTATTTGCTGTTATTGTATCAACTTCCTGAAATGTTTGCACTCGTACGTAATAGGAAAACAAACCATTGTTCTTACTTCCACCCCCAGATATGAACATACTCGTCCTTTTTTTTAAACACTTTTTTTTAAAATTTTTTTAACATTTATTTATTTTTGAGACCGAGAGAGACAGAGCATGAATGGGGGAGGGTCAGAGAGAGGGAGACACAGAATCCGAAGCAGGCTCCAGGCTCCGAGCTGTCAGCCCAGAGCCCGACGCGGGGCTCGAACTCGTGAACCACAAGATCGTGACCTGAGCCAAAGTCGGACACTTAACCGACTGAGCCACCCAGGCACCCTGAACATACTCATTCTTTTAAGTTCATTGTATTAAAGCAAAGCTGAACTTTGATAGAAAATGGAAGATATGGGGATAGAGATGAATCCACAGGCTCTGTGTTTCTTCTCCTCTCTTCTCAATTCCACTCCAGTTGTCACCCGTTAGATGCCCCTCCCTTGATGCCCATCCCATGGCAGTGGCTTTCTTCCTGTCCTGAGACACTGTGCTTCTGGTCACTCTCTTCCTTTAAACTCAGTCTGTTACTACTACTCTTCGATCTTTCCATACTCTTGTTTTGAACAAGTGTGATACTCGACTTCTACACTTGAGATTTCTTTTATTTAAAAAAAAATTTTTTTTTAAAGCATTTTATTTATTTTTGAGAGAGCCAGACAGAAAGCAAATGGGGGAGGGGCGAGAGAGAGGGAGACACAGAATCCGAAGCAGGCTTCAGGCTCTGAGCTGTCAGCACAGAGCCAGATGTGGGCTCAAACCCATGAACCCTGAGATCATGACCTGAGCCAAAGTCAGATGCTTAACTGACTGGGCCACCCAAGTGCCCCTACCTTTGAGATTTCTGTATTTTGTCCAAATCTCTTCCAAGGACTAGAATTCTGTCAGTACCACTCTCTTACCTATCAGCAGTTTCCCTAGTTCTTTCAAGGAGTAGTTTTTTAAAAATTCATTATCGTGTTCTTTTCTATTAAAAACATAAAAAGTTATCAGGAATATAGTTGAAGAAACATATTAAGTTAAATAAGAATCCTGGACATTATACTGGTATTAAATATAATTCCTCCATGTAAATGTTCCCCCCAAAAACTTCATTCACTGGATTGATTTCTGTCTACTTGAAACTCTATTTATTGTATGGAGCTGTTTAACAAAATTATTTGACCTACCTTATGAAAGATAAGCAGAAATCAGAATTTAGCCTGTGGTATCAACAGAAAGCCACCGTGATTTTTAAAAATTTTAATGTCTTAATAAAATCACTTTCTTTATTCCAGGTGATTAGAGCACATGCATCTAATCTGTAACTTCTGTAACATATAATCTTTGAAAGAGCATATTAATCTGTTTAATCAGAACATAGTGTTCCTGAGAGAAGGTTTTACTATTGTTTAACCTTCATGTACTTTTTAAAAAATTTCATCACCTATTTCTTCCCAGTGTGGCAGTAAGAAAGGGAGTGGTAATTGAAGCTTTGTAAGCCACACATTTTCTCTAGCTCATAGATACTCCAAATTAAATAAAATTAATAAAGTTAATATTATTAAAGTTTCTTGCTATCTAAGCTAAGGTGAGGTAACAACTGGGACCTTTATTCTCCAAATATTTTTCTTTAGTAATATTATAGGTAGGGGCGCCTGGGTGGCTCAGTTGGATAAGCGTCCCACTCTTGATTTCAGCTCTGGTCATGATGTCACGGTTCATGGGTTTGAGCCCGCATCAGGCTCCGCACTGACAGTGTGGAGCCTGCTTGGGATTCTGTCTCCCTCTCTCTCTTTCCTTCCCTCCCTCCCTCCCTCCCTCTCTCTCTCTCTCTCTCTCTCTCTCAAAATAAACATTTAAACAAAAAAAACAAAAAACACTGTCAGTTCTGGACAATTTAAAAAAAAATAATATTACAGGTAAATAATTTATAAGCATTTTCTATGTACAGTAAATTTAATAGAGTATGAGCAAAGTTAGATAGGAAGAAAAACATCAGAATTCAGTGAATACCAAAAGGTAAGGGTCCAAGAATTCCTTCATTTATGTTTTTTTTGAGTTTATTTATTTTGAGATAGAGTGAGTGAATACAAGTGGGGGAGGGGCAGAGAGAGAGAGAGAGGGAGAGAGAATCCCATTCAAGCAGGCTCCATGCTGTCAGCACAGAGCCTCGATTTCGGCTCAGGTCACAAATGGTGAGATCATGACCTGAGCTGAAATCCAGTCAGACACTTAACTGACTGAGCCACCCAGGCACCCCAAGAATTCCTTCATTTAGAACATAAGGTAGAATGAAGAATTGTAACAGCTCTCCAGCAAAAATAAAATACCAATGTCCAGTTAAAATAGAAGATAAAATGGAGTTTAATGATGGTTGTATAACAGGATTAGGTTCGACTATATTTAACAGAGATGCCCCCCAAAATGGTGACTTCTGGAGGATGGAGGTTTATTTCTCTCAAATCAAACACATCCATAGTGGATAGTCTGAAGCTGACAGTGGCTCTACAGTGTCCACAGGGACCCAGCCAGGCTCCCTGCCGTCATTAGCATTGACTTCTGCATTCAGGTTAGCTTTTGGTTGTCTGTGACTCTCAAGTCCAGCCATCACCTTGTACTCAAGGCTCAGGAGGAGCGAGTGGGTGGAGCTACAGATGAAAGGACTTTCTCCTGGAGTCCTCTCCTTGTAAACAGCTTTCCTAGACGGCTTATCAACATCTGCCGACATCTTGTACGCCAGAACTCAGACATGACCGCGTGAAACTGTGAGGGAAACTGGGATACGCTCATTAACTTGATTGTAGTGATTACTTCCACGTGTGTACGTAAGTCATCATGCTGCACACCTTAAATAAATACAGTTGTCAATTTTAGCTCAATGAAGTTGGAAGGAAAAAGGGCTTAGAGGCCCAGAAAATCTAATTGTAGGAAATAGCTAAGTATATAAATTGACAGTTGAAAAGACATCTGAATTTTATTCTTAGCCTCAAAAGACTTAACATTTGGAACTATGGAGAAATGCATATTAAAAACCTTTACACCCAAGTGAAAATGAGGATGTGTGTATAGGTACTGCATGGGTTCAGTTGATTCTTCTCCCTCCTTTTCGGTTTTCCTGCTGTATTTGGCCCATATTGTTACACTGTGTCTTGTGATTTGTATTGTCATACACGGAAAACAATAAAAGTGAAATGCAGAAGCCAAAACCCTGGTGAAAGGCTAATGTATTACTGGTTTGATTTTGTTGTCAAATATAACCAGTAATTAGTTTGCCATTTTTAAAAATAAAGTTTATTTACTTTTGAGAAATGAGAGTGCACGTGAGCGAGCGGGGGAGGGGCAGAGAAGAAGAGAGAAAATCCCAAGCAGGCGCCATGCTCAGTGAGCTTAATCACCTGAACCACCAGTTTTTATTTTTTTTTCAAAAATTTTTTTTTTCAACGTTTATTTATTTTTGGGACAGAGAGAGACAGAGCATGAACGGGGGAGGGGCAGAGAGAGAGGGAGACACAGAATCGGAAACAGGCTCCAGGCTCCGAGCCATCAGCCCAGAGCCTGACGCGGGGCTCGAACTCACGGACCGCGAGATCGTGACCCGGCTGAAGTCGGACGCTTAACCGACTGCGCCACCCAGGCGCCCCTGAACCACCAGTTTTTAAAGAGCATTAAAAGTTTTTTTTACCTTAGTTCAAAACAAAACATGAAGTAGAAAAAAACGTTGGAATCTGTGATGCCTCCTGATAGTGTGGGCTTATGCATATTATATAGAGGTTAAGAATGATGGCAGTAAGAAACCTGGCTTGGTATGTATCTACATCAGGTTGACAAGCACTTTGCTGTTTTGAAACTTACAGGAGGGGATTTATGTAAAGTCAGTCTGAAAAGTATTTCTCAGATACTGTGTGCAGTGATGATTTTTTGTATTTCCTTGCAAAACCTGTGACAGCCGACCTTCTGTCTTTCTTGCAGGACAGAGGTCAGATCAAGGCAGCCCCTTCAGGATGGCCTGCCTTTCTTTGAGAAGCCGCCAAGCAGGGAGCTTTCCTTACCAAACCTGTCTCCAGAAGAGCCTCAAATGAAGACAGCACTGGCAAATGAGGAAGCACTACAGAAGATCTGTGCCCTTGAAAATGAACTTGCTGCTCTCAGAGCTCAGATTGCCAAAATTGTGACCCTGCAAGAACAGCAAAATCTCATTGCAGGTCTGTAAATCCTATGTTTGTTTTAACCATTGAGCTGGAAATTAGGAGAATGCCACTAATTTTAAAATCTATTAGCAAATAACAGCCATGGGGTTGTTAGAAAACCAAAGGTCAGTCCTCTCCGTAGTCCAGTACAGGACCCAGTCAGGTTTAAGTGTTTTTTGTTGAACAATTTTGATGCTATCAGAAAGGGTGAGTTTGGAAAATACTGAATTTCATACAGTTGAACTAGTGCTCATATGAATGCACTGGGAAACTTTGTGATAATGGCACCAATTTTATCAGCCATGAAGTAATCTCAAAATGGTGCTGACAGGGTTGAGTGCTGCTTACTTACCTGCATGTCCTGAGGCAAGTTCTTGGCCTAACTCCCTTCCTGCTCTAAAATGGGGTAATAGTATTTATATCTTAGAGTAATTATGGGAGTAAAAGTGGAGATTCTATAAAATGCCTTTAGCACAAAGTAGCTTCTTAATAGTCACTTCTCTTCTCTTGCCCAGAGTAGAAACTCAATACAGGTCCTGTGACTCTTGGTCTAATACTGTTTGCTTTTATTCTTGTGCCTTGTTACTTTGGAGAAGAAACCATAGCCTTGAAATCCTAGCCCATTAGCCTGTTGGCAAGTAGTAGTTGTTTTTCCTAGCGTTCTTCCTGAGTCCTGGCTAGACTCCATATTAGCCAACTCTGAAGGTTAAAAGATAAGGACAGTTATTCTGCCTCTGAGCCACTTGTGCTCCCGGAGTTTAATGTAATCCGGCACGGAAACCTCATCCAACCTGGGTACAGCCAAGATAGGCCAAGATGGACAGAGGACGAATGCACTTGGCACCGAGTGCTTGAGAAGTAATTTGTTAATTAAATGAAATTTGCACGTAACTTTAAAAACCAGAAGTCCTGCCTTTTCTTTTAACTTTTAGTTTTTCCTTTCAGCTTTTAAATTGCATTTCTCTTTTGCTTTACCTCCCTCTTCTGGCAGACTTGGAAAACTGCTGTAAATAGTGAGATAATTTGGAGATTTATGTTAGATGCTGTATTTATAGTCAAAATTCCTTTTGCATTGAGCCCCCATAATCAGTATAGGTCAGCCAATGAACAACTGTTTGTAGTATGCAGAAAGATGAATTCTCAGGTCCTTATTTTGTAACCACTTTAACTCTTAGTTACTTAATGTTTTGGAAATTAAGTACAACGCCGCCTTTTCTTTCAGAAATTTGCTGAATAATACATGTAAAACTTTTAATGCTTAATAAGTCCTTTATGTAAATATTCTTAAGGTGAACCACAAATCTGTTGGGTTTTTCAAAATAGTTACTATAGTCCTGAACTGTCAGACCGTCTGTATTGAAGGTGTGTAGGTAGGACACACTGTTTCATATTTCGTTTAAAAGTTAAAAGTAGTTACAAACTGTGCAAGGTCAGACTGCAACATTTGATATCACAAAAACACCCCCTGTTAAGTTAAATGGAACTTTTCCATTTGGAGAGTTTGGGATTAGATGTGGGTATTTAAGATTCTAACCAAGTAACTGAAACTTCCTTTACTTACATAATGGAGTTTTTTTTTTTTTTTAAGCATATTGATTTCAGGTATACAAAAGTCCTTAACATAATTTTGCTGTTAAAGTTTATTTTATTTGCCTGTTACCATCAAGATTCAATTGATTTTTCCTTATTTCTGTAGGTGATTTAGATTCGACCACATCCGTTACTACGGCCCCACCCTCTGTCCCACCACCTCCCCCGCCCCTCCCCACACCAGGGCTCCACCAAAGTGTATCTGCTATTGACCTGATAAAAGAACGAAGAGAGAAAAAAGCCTGTGCTGGAAAGACTCAGGTTAAGAGCAGGCCAAAGAAACCGGATATGCCAAATATGCTAGAGATCCTTAAAGATATGAACAGTGTAAAACTTCGGTCAGTAAAAAGGTGAGGATACATTTACCTTATTTCATACTTCCCTTACTTTTTTATGTCTTGTAAAATGAAGTATTAGACTTTTTGGGAATTTTGTTTTATTTTTATTATTATTTTTTTAATGTTTATTTTTGAGAGAGCGAGAGCGCCAGCAGGGGAGGGACAGAGAAAGAGGGAGACACAGAATCCGAAGCAGGCTCCAGGATCTGAGCTGTCAGCACAGAGCCCAACACAGGGCTCAAACTCACAACAGGGAGGTGTCATGACCTGAGCCGAAGTCGGATGCTTAACCGACTGAGCCACCCAGGTGCCCGATAACTTTGTTTTATAACCTGATTACCATGAATGGTTCCAGTTTTGGTTTAAAAAAGATGAGCCCCAGTGTCTCCTATATAACTAAGAAGTTAACAAACATTTTCAGGTTTTTCTCCTATTGCATTTAAAGCCCTTTTATGGGAAGTCTTCATTGTTATTGTCCAGTCATTCATTCAATAAGCTGTGTTGTAGACCTACTGAGGTTAATCACTAGGCTTTGGAAGAAGAATGAAACTGTAGTTGCCCTGACGGAGAGCATGATCAATGCTCCTGTGCTGAATTGAGTGGCTATTCATTGGGCATCTTTGTGTTCTTTTATTGAGCCTTACATTTAGGGTTTCTGTTTCGTGTCTCTCAGTGTTTGTCAGGAACTTTCCTGGGTATCAGTGATGCTAGAGAAGTGCATGTAAAGGCACGCGAAGTACTTCTCTGAGGGATGTCAGCATATTGAAAAGTCCTCTTGGCTTCTATTCATCTAAGGTCAGAACAGGATCTAAAGCCCAAACCTGTGGATGCTACCGACCCTGCTGCCCTCATAGCAGAGGCTCTGAAAAAGAAATTTGCCTTTCGATATCGAAGTGATAGTCAAGGTGAAGTTGAAAAAGGAATTCCAAAGTCTGAATCAGAGGCCACCTCAGAAACAGTGTTGGTGAGTATTAGGTCACACTTCTGTCTTAGCACAACATGGTAGTTGATTCCGTTGCTGATAACCTGCATTTGGTAAGACATTGAGCTGTGGCTCTGTGAGAAGAATGTGCTACATGATTTAGCCCCTCCCCACAAGTAGATTATAGAGGAAGGTAAAAAAAGGAAGCAAAAGCCAAACCCTGGTTTCGCTAGTTAGCATCTCCAGTGTTAAATTCTTCATGCTGTGTTTTATTTATACGTAACCACAATGAAGCGAAATTCACTACAGTAAAATTTATATCTTAAGACAGTATGTATGTGGTGATTGAGAAATTCAAAGTGAAGAAAGATAATTTTCCCTTAGGGTGTCCTGTGAAAGTTCTCTGAAGAGGATGAGATTTGACCTGGGTCTTAACAAGATGTTTCAGGTCATAGGTGGAGATTGAGCAGATCAGGGAAACTTCCAAATATTAATTTATATATTATTATAAATTATACAGTTAAGTTATACAATTTATACAATTGTATAAATTATCTAGTATACATTAATGTATAAAAAAAATTTACTGTATTTTACCAAATACAGTAAAATGTATTTACTGTCGTGTGGAATATGTGCTTACCTACTCCAGGGAGGCAGGTATCTGAGAAATTCTAGAATCTTTCAGAGTTTTTAGACATTGGAAAAAGGAAACTTTGTACCTCATTCTTTTACTCAGAGAAGTAAAAATGGCCTAAAGCTTATGGTCTTAAGATGATTATAGTTTTCCGTGAAGTAATTTGGTTACCTTTTTGCTTTTCATTCTGTTGATGTGTCATGTTTATAAGACAGTTTGTCAATTCATGAAGGTTTTAATATCATCTAGCTGCTTGGTTTTTCATGCAGAACATGCCCAGGCCTTTGCTCCATGATTAGGAGGGGGACGTATCATTACTGTTACCTGAAGCACTATCTTTATTTACGCTTTGTTTCCTTTTTAGTTTGGGCCGCACATGTTGAAGTCTACAGGAAAAATGAAGGCTTTGATTGAAAATGTTTCAACTTAATAATAGCTGAAGAAAAACTATCCTTGTTCCAGCTGTTGGTTTGTTAGGGCTATTTGGCTAGTAGAAATCAACACTAGTTAGTAAATACCTGAATTTAGTATTCAGTAGTCTCCTTTAGGTCTAATAAAAAAGCACTCTAAGTCTGTGTTTGTTTTTATGAGAAGGTTCTGAAGTTTTCCATAACAGGTTTTTAATGTGTAGCCAGGATGTTAAGGTTTCTAGTCTTAACAATTATATAGATTTCAGAGGAAAGGACATTGTAGATGTAGAGTTTTTAATTTTTGACACTAATTTATCTGTGCAAATGTTTTATATGCATATATTTGGGTATAAAATAGTACGTAAAATGTAATAATGACGTCAGTGAAGCTGTCAGTGATTTATTACTCAGTGATGGAACAGCTGGTATAACACACAGTTGCTCGAGTGAAAAATTTGGGATTGGAACCTTTTTGCCTTGAATAGGACTTTAGGACTTTTACCCTAGATCCCCTCTCACATTTCTTTAGAGATGGGGGTTCAAGTAGGAACCAGATAATGTTTACTGCTGAAAATTCCATAATGCTTTCATTTAAAGGAAAGTCAAAGACCACAAAAGCTGCTTTCACTCCAGTGCTGAGAAAGAAAATGTAGTTTTTAGATAGAAATCAAATTATTGAATCAAATCTATAACAAGTGAAAACCAGAATGTACCATCTTTCTATTCCAGTTTAATAAAGGCATCATAAAGATGGGTTGTTACTAAGTTAATATGTAATGTAAATGGCAGCATAATGGAGTTGAGATTTTTTAAAATATTGGTCGAATGTAGTAGCTTTATAATGAAACAATAGGTGAAAGAATTTCCTGTAAGTTATCATTGGTCTGCTATTCTGTTGAATTACACCACGCAGCAACCCTTAGGTGCTCATAGGAGAAAAGCCGTTCTTGTGGAGGGCTTCCGAGGAATGCTGTACATGCTCATTTGGGAATGCTCAATAAAACTTTATGGTTTTCTGTATTTCTGCTAAACTCAGCTGTAGTTAACGCAGAATCTTCTACCATGAGTAAATACTTGGATTTATGTAAATCTAGTAAAAAGTGGAGATGGGAAGAGTAGACCTTTAAGTTATTGAAAATATGTGCAATGTTCTCAATATTAGGAAATGTTATTCAGCTTAAATTTGAACTGTGGCTTATTTTACACGTTTGTTGATTTCCATTACATTGTTTCTAATTGTTTCATATGATTTAAAAATTCTGCCTTTAAAAGAAATTCAGAAAATTTGCCTAAATTATATATTTTGACCTCCTAAGCAATTTATATTTGTATCAGTATTGAATTTTGGCCAGTGCTCCAACTGAAGGAAGTTACTGTATTGAAATAAAGCAAATTTGTATTTTCCTTGGACCATAAGCTCTCGTATATTATTTCAGTGGATAAAATTCTCTAATATTGTACATGTAGCTTCTTTAGAATACTTTGTTTTCTGCATTCTTAGAGTGGAAATCTATTGCCACTTATTCACCACCGGTCTCATTCAGTTTCTCCCACTCAACACAATACCTGAAGTGAAAGATGATAAAAAGTTAAATTTTATATTTTATAGCTGAGGCGAAGAAGGTGAAGTAACCGGTATGTTTTGTCTCCTATGATTTGAGTGGTCCAGGCACTCGCTACACACACATAGTGAATAGGAGTCAGCACTGGACTTGGGAGTTACACAAATCATACCTCTGTTTTTAAAACGGGAATGATGCTCCGCTCCAAAAATTGCTGAGGATTAAATGAAATAATGATTTCTGAATACATCCTGTGAGTGGTAGAGAGCCAAGTACGTTACTACTCACATTTTACGTGAGGTCACTGTAGTTTCCAGCAGACTGCTGCTGGATGTCCTCCTGTATACCTACTTGCACAGGCTTGGGGTAGAGCAGGAAAACTGTAGTTCCTGTTGTGTCTCCAGTCACAAGCCCTTCTGTACAAGAAGCCTGTCGTCTTGATGTATTAAATTCCCGAGTCTGTGTCTCATTGGTGAAGACGACAACCCGAGGAGACCACTTCTCCAAAATTAAAAGTGTTCTTCTTGGGGGATAGAATCTGGCAAATACAAGTTTAAATTTTTGGGAGGTAGTCCAGGATGGCGGTGTAGGGAGCTCGCGGAACTAGAATCTACATATAAAGCGATTC